TGACTGGGAAAGAATTGGCAGCCTTTAAAATTGGAATCCTACTTTTGTCTTCATTGAGGAACTACTAGGTAACTACTAGGTTTTTCAGAGGAAGGAAGATGAGGGACGCGTGTGATTTCTGGGTGATCCATCAGCGTATATTCAGAATTGCGATGTATATTGAGCTCATGCATGGGTGTTAAAAGTTTTATCCAACTTGGCAATTCCCTAGTATGAGCAGAGCACTCCCCAGCTGGTTGACTTTTCATATTTTGCAAAACTCTCACGACAAATCGGTTAGATTCTTGAACGACTGCTTAAAGGCAGGTCCGCGATCAGGTATCGAAGTTGAAAATATGGCATCAGGAGGTTAGAGTGGTTCGCGGCATCAGGAGGTTAGAACAACCTTGTGCGGTTTCGCGGCAAAAATTCTGAGGGAGGGGCGCTATAGCGCAATATAGGTTCAGTGGTTCCTCCTTTTTCCAGTGACTCCGCCTCCAGACTCCGCCTCCAATGCCCGGCTTTCAGTGAAAAACGAGATTGCAGGACGAAAAAGCATGAAAATCGTCACTTGTACGATCGTAGAGTTCTTATCGGTGAATCAGGTGTGGGTATGAGGGCGAAGTGTGGGAGATAGAGTTAACTGGATCAAAATAGGATTCTATCTAGAGCAGGTGACATGTTTTTTTTGTGCTTTTTCTTCACTGTCGAGTTACTCAACCCCTTGTCGTCTATATGGAACCCCCTAACCCACTATCTGAGATGGCGAGTAGTCGCGGGTCCTGCCTTTAACCTTTGCAACGCGCTTTATAGCAGGGTGAGTGTAATATCCCACACCCTACACTAATTATGGTGTTTGATATTTATATGAAAGGCATTGCTTATCTCTATAAACCTCTAAACGACCTTGTCTTTTCGTTCGTTGTCCTCGTGCTTCTAGGTCCGTTTGCTCTTGTAACTATAATGTGTAGCTTTCTATCTCTCCCCACTCAATGTTTCATCCAAGATTTCCAACTTTTATCGATTTTGCGCCGCTCATTCACTTCTCTCTGTTTCATTTTCTTTTGATAAATCATACTCCTTGCGCAACCTTTCCTATGCCGCTTTCTCACCATGCTTTTCATCTCGCCCTAAATTTTTCCTCTGTTTTGTTGTCTTACTGAGATCCCCTTTCTTTCCGTATCCTACAGTGCCAGAAACTCCCTTCATCTTTCTTCTTCTGCTCGATTTTTTTCTCAATTTCCCATCGCTCTCTCCCTACTTTCTGTTCCTCTCGGTGAGCATCACATCAACGAAGGAATTTTCGTCACACTACGCCTACGTGGTCAAGAAGTGCTGAACGATGATGTGCCCTGGTTCCCTTCACTTTCGCACTGCCACTGCTTGGGCTGGTCGTTTGCTCATATGAGGCCTCTCAGACCTCCCACTCACCATAAACATCTTAGAGTGCTCTTTCTCTTCAACTGTCTTTACTTTTGCTTGTTTTCCAACCCTTTCGTAAGATCCCGAAGACAACGGGGCTTTTCACGTTAATCCTTGATGTACATTTTTACATTTGTATGACTAATACGTCGCAGCTCATTCTTACTTTCTCGCTTCTTGATCAAATTTCCTGTGATAGCAATGATAGCATGCTTGCTCACGTAACTCGAAATAATGAAAAATCTTTTGATACAGCTTTAGCTGATTTGGGGTGGAGCTTCGGTGAAAAAAGTAAAAAGAGGAACGGTAGCTATTATACTAAGGTGAGAGAGTTGTGGGGGCTTGAAGCCTCGGTGGGATAATGGAGAGCACCACTCACCCAAGGCTCCACGTGCGGCTGGCTGGCTTGGCTCCCGTCTGAGCTCATGTTTTTTTGCTGATAACTCAGCGTTCTTGAGGTAGGCTCACATATTATTCAATGAAATAGTTCAAGTCCTTCACCAACTACACTGTAGTTCGCTGCGGACGGTGGGGCGTGTCAGCCAGTATGAGTGTGCACAGCAACAAAGCCGTTCTCTGCCTTTTTGTTGAAGCGCGCATGCGACAAAAAGTGGTAGAAAACGAGTAATACGAACGATATGATACACATTGTCACTTGCTCGCTTCAACAACTGGTGGAGAACGAGTTTGGCACCGCGCCAAACGCAGCCGCACTGACACGCCCAACCGTCCGCAGTGAACTACACTATAGCTGACTCCTGCAAACTGGCTGCGCTCAAAAAAAACTTTCCGAAGCAATTTGTTTTTTTTCGATAACTTTCAGCATCTATAGGCATTTTGACATTCCAGTTGGTTCGAGCATCTGGTGAAGTATTTGGATTCGAAGCTCGACTCAAACATCCCACTCACGTTCATGCTGGGTTTCTTCGTGTCATTCGTCGTCGGCCGATGGGGTTCTATTCTGAACGGGATAGGATGGATCGATGAGTAAGTCTCTTAATATCGTTTTCTGCATTCTTCCAATTTTTACGTGTCTGTATGTCCTTACGAATAGTGGGATTCACATAACCCTGCAAGCGATGCAGCGTATGACGGGGCGTGGATCAGAGCGGTGCCTGAACAGCTTTTCCCCACCAATGATGCCTTCGTGAGTCTGCAACAACTGGTGGGAAAGGCTGATATGGCGGTGTTACTGCTCACTCCCCGCCTATCGTTTGCAGAGATCGTGACTATACAATTTGACGCTTTTGGTCTAAGAGACATTCACTGCTGCTTCTCAAACCACTGTTGTGCCATTTCGTGGCCAAGTTCCAGTATCGTCTATTTCAGTGCGTCTATCCTTTTTGCCTCGTACATACGAGGAGGAGAAGAGTCAACGAGGATTCTACGAATAGAATCTTGTTCCCCGGTTGGAATTTACGTAGTATCTCGCTCTATTTAACTTGAAAAAGTCGTTGTCATTGCAGGTACATGGTTTTATGCCAAGCGTTAGTTCTTCGCGATATTTCCATGCAGGTGCGGAAACGGTTTCCTACGATGGATACTCTTGCCGCATCAGGTAAACGACATATTCGCTGAAAAATTCTCTGTTTCCCTCTTTTCTTTTCCCATCTTCCAATATTGCTTTCCTTTGTTTTTTAATTCCTCAGGTTGTTTTCGAGGCATTCTCAATATATCTTGAAAGACACAAATCCTCCGAACGGGAAGAAACACGCCCACACGTGCATTCCGTTCGGCTGAAAAAAAGCGTTTGCCCGCGTTCGGTCTAAAGGCAAGCCCTAAAGCCTGTATTCTGGGTAGTGGTGCTGAACTAGCGATGCCAGATGCCAACAAAGTCAGTGTGCAGAAAAAACAGAAAAAAATGGTGGTGGCAAAAGCCCTCATGGAACTCCTCTGCGAGCACACTTGTACGAGCAAAGGAGGAGCAAAGAGAGTGACGAGATCACCGGGCGAGTGCGGATGTGGTCGTTGTGGTTGCGCCATTGATCAAAGCTGATTTCCTGTTGCCAATAATGTCTCTGCCGATGTTTTTAGCAGGTCCATTATGGATAGAGCAGAGCTGGGCGGCGGCAGGTTCTATGAAAAACGCTTGGGCCTAGTTGGAGAACGACAATGTTCGCTTCTCCTCACCTTTGCCCACAAAAAGGTGACTCGCTGCCTCTGCGGCCTGTCTACCTGCTCACGAAGGGAGAGAAAGATGTCGCTGATTGTGGGCAGTGCCTTCAAGATAGGTTCGGAGTAACAAAGTATCCTATATGCTTCCTTAAAAAACCCTCTTCTTCGATCCCACACGGGCCCGTCTTCTTGCGGGATATCTGCGGTATGGGGTACACGAAATTTGTGGGATTGTGTCACGGAACCTGAGAACATAAATGGCAACCAGTATGAGGATATTTGGCACTACTGACTTATTACGCACCAATCATCGAAAATCAGGCAGAGATTTCACCAGTTTTATCCCCTGAAGGTGTGCTTGACTAAGAATTTCTTTCACGAGGCAGTTGGATCTCTCGAAAACCAGCACCTCATCTGTATGTCTTGGAACCGCCTCACAACCCCCCCCTACATTCACTTGCACACAATGCTACAATTCCACTTTGATGCGTTGATAGCTCCTCTTCAAATGATTTTTTGCGCGGAAAAAAAAAAAAAAAAAAAAAAAAAAAAAAAAAAAAAAAAAAAAAAAAAAAAAAAAAAAAAAAAAAAAAAAAAAAAAAAAAAAAAAAAAAAAAAAAAAAAAAAAAAAAAAAAAAAAAAAAAAAAAAAAAAAAAAAAAAAAATGACCCCCCTGGCACAAGTATTACATCCACTTGGGGGCTAAGGACTAAGGTGTGGGAAGCTTGGGAGAGAAAAGCGACGGCATAGCCTTTTCTGCGCTTCCGCAGCCTCCTCGCGAGATAGTGATCCATACTGTGCTGAGGCTCATCCTTAACAAAGGAAGGAATTACTATGGTGGGCACCGAGAAAGGATGAGGCCTCGCCTACTTCCCGGTCTATCAAAAGGGTGCCATGTGCTCCTGACTGCCCTAGCACTCAATCCGCCACGATATAGCACAGGATCAGAGCTACAGGCCTCGATGTTAGAAAAAAAATCCCACACCCATGGCGGTTGCGCCTTTGGCGCGGACACCAGCTGTTTCGTGCCAGCGGATGTGATATTTGGCTACACAATGCAAGAGAGAAGTTCTCAGCAGATTTGGTGACTTTAGGGACCTTTATGCCAGCACTTGTGGGCCAGTTGCCAGGAGGTTTCTGCCAAGCGAATGTGGTATTCTTGTTAGAGGTAAAAAAACCTCTTGGAATCAGACTACTAGGCTCATGGAGTTTTTAACCCAAGTCCGAAAACGAAGGGCAGTGGAGGGTAAAAAGTGCCCTCTATTCATTGTGTCCTGTGTTGCTTTCCGACCTAGCCATTGACAGTACTTTTCTTCTGAAATTGAACAGCTAGCGGGGAGCCGGTGAAAAAAAGCAGCTACGTAAACAGATGTCGCATGAAAACGAGACATTACATCTAATTCCTTCAAGGAAACTCTACTAGGAAAATAAAAGAAGAAAACTCTGTACAGGGATGTTTACAATCGCATTTTTCTTCAGGTTTGATGACTGAAGAAGAAATGGAGATACTGGACGACATCAAGGACCCCTATAGCAGGTAGTTACCACCCATTTGTTCTACTCTCGGTTGAGACAAGAATTTCCCAAATCATGTTAGAGCGATTTCCCACAAAGTAACTGTTCTAACTGTATGAGGTACTGCAGGTACTGGGCACCAATTCAGTGGTGCGTCAATTTGGTATACGAGTGCAAAGCCAGCGGCAAGATTGACGATTACTACCTCATGAATAAAATTGTTGATGTAAGTTTGATATTTTAACCCCGGCGTAAACTAAAAGGATTTCCAGTTAAAGTAATTGTCTTCGAGTGTGCCTGATTCCGAGTAAGTATAACGTAGGGTTGAGCTCCGCGTTATCAGGTTCAGAAAAATTGCTCTTATTTTATTCAGGAAATCAGCAAATTCCGTCATGGACTGGCCGCTCTTCTTAAATATGATTGGGTTCCTGTGCCACTTGTTTACCCTCAAGTATGTCTGCAGTTGTTCGTTCAGTTTTTCTGTTGCCCCCCCCCCGTCAATAAACAGCGCCCTACCATCTTCTGTTTTCAGGTCATCTTCCTTGCAGTTCGTTTTTATTTTGTAATTTGTTTATTTGGACGCCAATTTATTGTTACGGGCAAAAATCCGAGTGGGGTGAGTTCTAAAAGTATCGTGAAGTGCAGAGATGGATTCGTTAGTTCCTTGGTTGCAGCAATCGGTCGTCCCCTTCCCTCTCCACTGCCGAGTCCCACTCCTCCTAATGACCACATCTTCACCGGAGTGCCTCCCTAGATTTGGCGTTCAAAGTCAGACCGATTCGTTGAGCATGACTATGCTCCAGCTTGGAAGGGAAATATCAGGCCCCTTTTCTCCAGAGTTTGATCCCAGGCCCATAGTTATCAAACTCTGGAGTGCCAAGCGCGTTCTCAACGCGCCAATGTGATAGTCTTTTTTTCTCGGGTTCAGTTACCCCTGGGACGAGTTTTAACCATGTTTGGTGTTTTCCCATGTTTGGCTCTCGCGCCTGCGGCGCATTCGCAACGCTTCAAGAAAAGCAGGTGTGATTGTCGTGTTCACGCATTCAAACTACCCTGTAGGACGGTTTTTTTTACTCACTTCACCTACGGGGAGCTTCGCTCAGAATCTGGCCAGAATTGTGGAGAATGGGGCACTTATTCGTGAAAAGTGGCAAATTCTTCACTTGCTAGAGTAAACAGACAGCTAGCTAGTGGTTTCTCGAGAACCTCTATTTGTGCACTTCTCATTGCCTCCCAACGTTTCCGTCGCCATGTCTGGGCTGTGTCCAACTATAGCACATGCTCCCTGCTGAGAAGCTCGACCTCAATGAATCCCGAAAACACACATTTTATTAGCCACGCTCGCGTAATATCATGTATACGATCTTACCGAAGGTACACTCCACATCCCGGCAGTAGCAAGGGCGTGCGCTCTCCGCGAGGCATTGCCACTTTGAGACAATTGGATACCTTTGCCCAGCACGAAGCAGTATAATTGTTGCCACGACTAGAAATATTCCATAAACAACTCGGCGTACATCATGTTCAAGTGAAGAAGGCAGCCATTCCCTCCTCATGTCTGGAATATTGACTGTAAAGAGAAACTGGCTCATTACATACTGAAAGTGTTCGTTTCAGATAGATCTATGGTTACCGATCACCACTATGATGTACGCCGAGTTGTTTATGGAATATTTCTAGTCGTGGCAACAATTATACTGCTTCGTGCTGGGCAAAGGTATCCAATTGTCTCAAAGTGGCAATGCCTCGCGGAGAGCGCACGCCCTTGCTACTGCCGGGATGTGGAGTGTACCTTCGGTAAG